GGTGAACACTGCTGCTGCTGCCGATTTCTTTGACGCCAGCGCCGTGCCCGATCTGTCACTGGTGGAGACGATTGACTGCTACGATGTCCGACTCGATCGCTGGACTACAGTAGGCCGTTGTCGCTCCCCAAGACAGGGCTCTTCCGTCGTTGTCGTCTCAAACACCCCTTCCACACCGCCCTCAGACGACATGTGCTTACTTCCAACCCACAAAGACAGTTGGCATGCATCAGAAATTGGTAAGTAACCCGTCCTCTTCCCATATCCGCCTTGGTATATTTTTTGAAGGAAATTAGTCCTTCGGAGAAGTAGGCAGAGCTTATTTGTTAAATTTTCGACGTTCTTTTCCCAGTTCTTTGTTAGTCTTGTGGCAAGGGTGCAAACAGTTAACATTTAGACATGCCATACATAAAAAATCGATTAGTAGTAAAGAAGCGAGACCACCTACCCCAAGTCGCTATGCATACGCGAGAAACTGCACAAAACTCGCTTGAGTTAAAACCTTCATTGTTAGGTTTTTTCCATATAAGAAATGACGAGACATTTTTACAGGCTATTCACTCTGACGGTTCATGCACTCATCGGCATATTGATTTAGACGCCGTGAAAACTAATCCCAAAGAACGAAACGCGCCCAAAGTGCCATTTGTTGTGTACTTTTTGATGACTGTTTTACAGCTCGAGATTAGCCGCACGGGCAGTACGCAAATGCATATACGACAGGAGAAGGTAAGGTGCTTACTAAAGAGGATGCCTTACTCATCACTGCCATGTGCATCCCTTAAGATTGATGATAGAGAAAGCCATTCAGCAGGCGACACTTAGAAAGGACTGTTGAATTGACGCTACGGCATTAGGTAACATGGGTCATAACCTGCAAATTTTCTTTAACGTCAGGACGCTGATTTTTGCGGGCGTCTTTTTAACCAGTTGCTCTCTGAAAATTAATACCAAAGTAGTGCGTGTTTTCCGCATTTGTTTTCCATAAAATATTATTTGTTAGAAAATATGCCCAAAAGAATCCTTTCTTCTATTCCAATTGTTATATTCCTGAATAATATCCAATCCAATCTACTGTGTTGGCCCGGCTTTTCGGTGTTTACGAGGCACGCGTTGTATTTAGACTAGATCCTGTAGTTTTTTTGTGCCATCAGGAGGAGTCCAGCGTAAAATTCTGCGACAGACGTAGTTCACACTGTTTATTTGAGAGAAAAAACAGCATCAATAGATTCACAAGATCAATCGTTGCGCCGTCTCAAAATTCATCAACTTCTAAAACCTTTTTTTCTAAAATCGGCAAGTGTCCGACCCTGGAGATGCATAATGTAAATAAAATGGGAGTTTTTACAAAATTAGTGTAAAGCATGCATATTTTGTGTACATGTTTTCAAAAAGCAAGAATTCTAGTTTGATTGCTTGAAACCATTTTTTCGTTACATGCCTAAGCCATACACAAGCGTTCTCCTCAGCGGCATGGCGGACCTAAGCCAACCAAGGCATGTAAACAATATCTCTTCCATGAATGACTTCCTTTTCAATTATTCTCTCTGGTTAGATAATATTTTAATTGTGCCCGGCAGTGGGCTAACCTTGCAGAGCCCAAATCGCTTCGGCGGGTCAGGTGACTACGCGAGGACATGTGGGGCGAGGTGCGGACAACATTCACATTGGCGTTTGCACTGCCATCGCACCCTACCAAGTCGTGACTGTTCCCTAAGCAGGCCGCGTGGCAGATGCACTGGACTAAGATGGCGGCTAGATGGTGTTTTTGGAGGTGCACTCTCACAACAAACGCCTTACATGGAGGTAAGCGGGGAGGGGGGAGGGGGCATGTTGGCATGCGAATGTGCAGGTTCACGCTGAGCCAGCCACCTGCGGTCTTCTTGGCTCT